ATAAGAGGCTCGATATTGAAAAAAAAACACCAACAGAGAGTCAACAAAAATTTGGATGCAGAAAATTATGTACATGTATCTTGATGAAAATTTCATCATATGATCAAAATATTACTGACTGTGTGTGCAAGCAAATTATCCGAATCAGAAAATGAAAAAAAAATAATAATAAACTTTTCTTCACCCCGAAAGGGGACTTCGGCTGAGGAGCTTCCGCTGCTTTCGTTGCAGTTTTGTTGACTTCAATGCGGAAAAAGCAACTGAACTGACTTGTCGCCTGACCGACTTTTAGGCCACCATGCACCTCCACTCCCTCTCCCATTTCTCTCATCGTTGCAGAAGAAACGCGGGACAGCCACTCTGGACATTATGTCTTGAAAGTTGTCTGGGCGAAACTCGCTTGCCGCTACCGTTCTCTCGTATAGCTGTGTAAACGTCACATCTCCCTGGCCAACGTCAATTGCGTACCAGTGTACAACAATCCCTCCGTTTTACCTCTGAACTTTTATGCTCACGCATTTTTGTGATGTGGTCGCCATGATGGATCATTTATGACAAAATTGGCATGTTTTGAGACAATCTCCTTCCCATAGGTCTTTGCGCTTTACATAACGTGCATCTAACTGTGCAGAGTTTAGCTTTGAGGTAGCCCAAAACGAGTTTTACGACAAGTCGGCGCTTTGCGGTAATATGAGTTGGCAAGTTCCGGAGAGAAAACTGACCTGTGGAGACTCGTCGTTTTTTTTTGAGAACAGGCGAAAACTAATGCGCGCGCGGATGTCATTCATAAAATTAAGTCAGTGTGGCCTTATTTGGGTTTGATTTCAGTGTAGCACAATTTTCATTATATTAGTATATCAGTTCAGTTGAAATCTGCTGAGTGACACCTGAGACATCTATTGTTAAGTCAAAGCCTTCAAAAATGTGCTTACATGTAAGGAAGCTAACAATCACTTGTTTTCTAAGCATACTGATTCTGTTTGAGGTGATATCAAATTGTTATCAACCAAATGAATATTTTTTTAATATTTCAAGTGTAAAGTATGTTTACTGCTACATATATGAAGGCATTTTATGCGTCTAAATGGATAAATTCAGATGCATAATGAGAAAGCAATATCAAATCAATCAGTCTAGCCATTTTTAAGAATATTCACTAAAATGAGAAAATTGAAGTTAACAAAACTAAATGAATTAATCTGATAGAGGAATAAATCAAATCAATCTGATAGTGGTCTATCAAAGGTACCACATATAAAATATAAGAACAATTGAGCTGGTGTTTTTCAAAAAGACAGAAATAGCTTTTTTTTTTTTTTTTAAATGCCAAAAAATTCATTAAAATTAGAGAACTAAGTTATTGTCATGAAATGAACACATCTTAAATTGTCCATCTAAAGTACCTACATATCAAATATTAAACTAATTGGATAAGCCTTTTTCAAGTCGAAAATGAAAATTTCTACCAAAATGACAAAATTATTCACTAAAATTAGAGAAGTGAAGATATAGTCACAAAATGAACTATGTATTAAAGTATATTTGTAGTGGCTATGAAACCCATACAGCTGACAATGTTTAGAAAGAAGTCAAAAATGTAAAGTTGATGACAAAAAATCACTAACTTGACTTTGTTGACAACTAACCTTCAGTATCAGTATCTTCCTCTTCCAGCATATCATCCTCTGCTTCTTTTTGTTTCTCAAGATTTTCTTCAATATCCTTTCTATCCATAAAATCCATCAATATGGTAGAAAACCTCAAATCTGACTGATCAATCTTCTTCATTCTCTCCTCTTTTTCTTGTTTTGTCAAATATTGTCCAATATAATGTTCATACATCAGTGGATCTCTTTCTTGCATCGCATCTTCACTAAAGTAACTGCCTTTATTTGTCAGCTCTTTCATGGCTTCATATCTCCTATTTCTCACTTTAGTTGCGTTCTTTTTAGTATTGAGTCGTTTCTTTATATCTTCCAAGTAAAAGTTGATTACATAATCATTTTCAAAACTTTTAAACAGTTCTAAATCTTCTTCTAACAAGAACGTGCCAAACCTTTCAAGGAATATTGCTGGTTTCTTTTTCAATATTTCCCCCACAATATCCATTTTCTGTTCTTCTGTTAAATCTGGTTCATCTCTTTGTTGATTTTTTATTCTAGCATCGCTGTTAGCTATCCTTTTTATCATATTTTCTTTTTGACTCAGCCCATGCATTCCCACTGTGTCGACATTCTTTTCAATCTTAGTTGCTGCCTTGGTGGGTTCAGTATCTAGTATCTGCAGATGGTTTATTTTATTTGATGTATCAGCTATTTCCCCCCACAGTACAAAGGTTTCACCAGATTCTGTCACGCTTTGATCACCTGAATACAAAAAAAAACATAATTGTCAACTTGTCAAATGTATAATTTATCATTATTCTCTTCTCAAGAAAA